ACTAGCTGTGTGACCCTGGGCAAGTCACTTAACCCCAATTGCCTCATGCAAAAAACAAAACAAAAAAACCCCAAACAAACATAATTGGGGCCCATCTGATGCCTTTCTGTCTTTGTTTTTTGTTTTTTTTTGTTTTTTTTTTTTTAGTGAGGCAGTGGGGTTAATTGACTTGCCCAAGGTCACACAGCTAGTACCGTCTTTGTTTTGAGATGCTCTCAACTAAGCAATGGGCTGGGCACTGTGCCCTGGTAGGGTCAGGGGTGTTTGGAGTTCTAGATAGAACCAAGTGGTACCTTAGAGATCATCTAATCCAATCCCTTCATATTACAAGGGTACAAGCTGAGGCTCACTGAGAGGAAATAACTTGCTCAGTCACACATAGTATCCCACCTAGATCTAAAGATGATGGGGCCTCAGAGGCCATCAAATCTGACCTCCTCATTTGACAGAGTAGGAAATTGAGGCCCAGGAAGGTAAAAGGACTTGTCCAGGCTCCTACAGGTAGCAGAGATTAGATTTGGACTCAATTCCTTTCAATTATACTAGGCCATCTCTTCCCCAGGGTGTCAGTGTCCCTGAGTTGTGAGTGCAGCCAGCAGGCTTTGCACCTGGCCTGTCAATGGTCCCATCGAGATGTAGCCCCTTACCTCCTGGACCTTTCTTTTTCCACAGGGGAGCATTCTCGGAGGTGTTTCTGGCCCAGAATCGATCCTCCAAGAGACTGGTGGCTCTCAAGTGTATCCCGAAGAAGGCTCTGAGGGGGAAGGAAGTAGCTGTAGAGAATGAGATCGCTGTTCTCAAGAAGTAAGGAGGTGGTAGGATAAGGGGATGATTGGGGTACACCTGGATGTATAGTGGGAGGGAGTGGGAGTCGGTGGGAAGATCTTCACTGCCCTCCCAAGAGGCTTTCCAGCCCAGCTCTGAGTGGCCCCACACCACCCTGTCCCTTGCACTTGTGTGTGTGTCTAATGTTGAGTGTGTCATACTCTGTGTGTGTGTGTGCTGTAATGGGGAGAAAAGAAAGGAGAGAAA